TTCATCTCCGGAATCAGGACTGGCTTTGTGACTTGCTTTGATTAATAGAATTCATCCATAGGAAGTATATACCAGTTTTAAACCTAGGCCTCATGTACCGAGGCCTTCTAGACCTCTGCACTCTCTTTGAACCCTGCCAGCCAAACTGTTAACAAGCCTGGCTTACTCACATTCCAGACTAGAGATCACATGGAGCAGAGAGGAGCTGAGGCCATCCTGGAAAAGCCAGCTCGCAACTCACCCACATGAATGAACTTGATCCCAGTTAAGAGACCTGCCCAGATATAAAGAACCACCCAGCGGGGTGCCCAAACTGCCAACCCACAAAATCAAGAGCTAAATAAATGTTGGCTTAAAATAACTAACTAAACCTAGTAGTGTGGTGGATTGTTAAACAACAAAACCTAACTGATATAGTAAGGGATAGATTCTTCATGAATTCATTTAATGAATATTTGTTGAATAACTTCTGTATTTCAATTACTGCCTCAGTAGTTACTGAGGATACAGAGATGCCTGCAATTATAGTTACATCCTCTAAGCACACTAAAAAATCACTAACAAGATCTACTTAGAGGATAGACAGACTCAAAAAAGTCACATTTGAGCTATTTTTTAAAGACGAAACAGTAACATACCAGATAGGCCTGGACATCAGAGGTGGAAGAAACAGCATGTACAGAAGCATAGATGTGGGGAAGAACTCAAGGAATGTTCTAGGAAGGGAAAATAGCTCAGGACAGATGGAGTGTAGGGAGGAGATGGCAGATGATGGAGCAGGAAAAACAGATGGAGGCAAATAACGAAGGGTCTCATATTGTAAATCGTGCTATGGGATCTGATGCCTTGTGTAGGCAGGGGAGAGCTACAAATTGTCTTTAAGGAGGAAATGGCATGATTAAAGCTGATGACAAATGGAAGATGGATTAGAGGCTGGAGTACAAATCAGGGAGACTAGTTAGGAGGCTATTACTACATCCTAAGGTTGGATTAAAGAACTTGAACCACAAGACAGTGAATAAGGGAGAAGACATCTTTGAAAGTGGTTTCAGAGATAGGAGAAAGGCTCAGCAGCCTTGACAACTAAATATGGACTGTGAGGGTGATGAAAGTTGTGTGGGAGGACTGGGGACAGTGCCAAGTCTTCTACTTCAGAATCCTAAATTCATGGTAAATAGTCTGAGGTAGGAAAGCAGCACAGCAGACTGGAGAAGAACTATTCATGCTTCCTATAAAGGTATGTGCAGGACATCCAGATATCCAGACAGTTAAGGGTATAGATCAAGACACTGAAATAATGAACAGATAGTACAAGCGGGAGGTAAAAACCTAGGAGGTTGTCTAAAAAAAAAAGAGTAGAATTAAAGTGAAAGTCAATGTTAATGGCAAGGCATTCAGGGAAAAGCTATAGAGTGGACAGGAAAAAAGCTAATAAATGGCAGAATCTTGAGGGACTAAAATTTTAGGGGCTAAAAGAAAGAAGTGGCTCCAAACAGAAGCAATGGTCCTTAGATTTACAAGAGGAGCAGGGAGGAATCATTTAGCAAGCATGGATTATAAGTAGAGGTATGGATACCAAACTCATCATTTTGCCCTCTTCTAATGCTAAGTTATCATTACATTCTTCGCTCTGGTTCCTCACACTCCAAGGATAGCAACAATGAGAATCACATGAATCACAGCATTTGTCTCCATAGATATTATTTAAAATTCACATTTTTTTCAATCCCCTTTTATGTTATCTGCTATGGAAAAATCCAAAATCTGAAAAATTCCACATTTGACTTCATGTGATGAGTCAAAATCAAAACAGAGACAGACCAAAAATATTGTTTAAAATACTTTCAGGCTATATGTATAAGGTATATATGAAACATAAATGAATTTTGTGTTTATACATGGATTCCATCTCAAACGTATGTTATATTATGCATATGCAAATATGTCAAAACCTAAAAATGTCTGAAATCCAAAATACTTCTGGTCCCAAGCATTTCAGATTAGGGAGACTAAACCTGTAGCTAATTTACTACATCTCCCAAACAAATTGTCTCCATATGTTTTCAATAACTAAAAAGGAAATTTTAAAAAATAACCCTGGCAGCTGGGCACAGTGGTCCATGACGTACCTGTATTCCAGCTATTTAGAATGCTGAAGCAGGAGGATTACAACTTTGAGGACACCCTGACCAATTTCAGGACAGACCATCTCCAAAAAAAATTTTTTAAAGGGCAGGGGGTGTACCTTAGTGGTGAGTGTTTGCCTAGCATATATGAGGCCTTGGGCTCAATCCTCAGTACCACACACACACACACACACACACACACACACACGAATGTTGGGTGCTCTAGAGATAGCAACTATTCCCCCACCCAGCAATGGGTGGTGCCCCAAGATAAGGGAATGCAGCCTCTGGGTGGCAAAAGGTAAAGATGGAGACAGGCTGTGCTAGGGCACGTTCATCATCTTGGAGAACTGCCTCCTACCCGAGGACAAGCCCCACCTCATGTGTCCATGTGGAGCAACCTCAATACTCAAAGACTCACCTCTGTGTAGTATGCTGCAAGCTTACACAGCAAGAACCCCCCCCCAAAAGCAAACATTTCCTAAATAGAGAAAAAAGAATAGCTGTAAGAGAAAAATTTATAGTTGGTTTCATTAAGACCATCAAACATGGTTCCCTATTTTTAATGTTCATACAGAGATTTCTTCAACTGAAATACCGAATAGTTTCTTTGGTGCGAAAAACTATAATAGTACACAGGATCCTAATGAGACAATTAATAATGTGAAATAGGAAGTAAAGGGCTAAAGGTGTAAGGAAAGTGGGAAGGGTGGGGGAGAGGTAATAAGGGAGAGGAAAAAATATGAGAAACCGAAAAAATGGAAATAAAGTGTTTGTAAATGGGGAGGGGAGGAGGGGGTGAAGGGAGGGCAGGGACAAGGGGAAAAAATGAGAATCAAGACCTATTATGTAAAGGCACAGAATCCCAATGATGAATGTAACTGTATTGTATACCTAGATTGTACCAATAAACTCAATTAAAAAAAAAAAAGACCGTCAAATGTGCTGGGACATAGAATCACATGCCCGTAATCCCAACTACTCAGGAACTGAGGCCAGATGACTGACAAGTTTGAGGCCAGCCTAGACAATTTGAGACCCCATTTCAAAATAAAATTTTAAAAGGGATAGTGGTATGAGCTTAGCACTCTCAGTACTGGAAAAGAAAAGCATCACGAAAAGGCAAACTACAGACTGGGAGAAAATATTCCTTATATTAAAAATTCCTCACAAACAAACAATTAAAAGAAACAAAATAGAGAGGGCAAAAGATTCAATAGGCATCTAACAAAAGCATATCCAAGTGCCAGTTATATAAAATGGCATGCAACATCAATATTCACCAGAAAATGTATATTAAAACTACATGGACTACCTCACCTACCAGAATGACTACTATCCAAAACCAGAAATTAACAAATGTTGGTGAGGATGTAGAGAAATAAGAATCATTGTGCACCAGCTATAAGGATTATAAGACGGTATATGCTATGGAAATAATATGGCAATCCCTTCAAAATTAAAAATAGAATTATTCTAGCAATTCTGCTTTAGACATTTACGCAAAAGATTGAAAGCAGCATCTCAAAGAGGTATTTGTACACACATCTTCACAGTAGTATTATTCACAAATAGATAAAAGATGGAAGCAACTCAAGTGTTCATGGACAGATTAATGGATAAACAAAAGGCACATATATATATACACAGTAGAATATTATTCAGCCTGGTATTTTGATACAATCTCCAACACGGATAAACCTTGAGGACAGAAAGTAGAATGGTGGTTGCTGGAGAATGAAAAAAAGGGGAAAGGAGAAAGGGGCGTTCCTGTTTAACAGGTAAATTAGTTTTAGATTTTGTAAGATGAAAAGTGTTCTAAAGATGGATAGTGATGGTTACACAACAATGCAGATGTACTTAAAATCGCTATCTGTATACTTAAAAATGCCCCCAAATGGTAAATTCTGTATAATGTGCATTTTACCATAATTTTAAAATTTCTTCCCTTTTTATTGCAGTGCTGAGGATGGAATCCATGGGTCTTGCATATGCTAGGCAAGTTACCCCTGAAAAAAAATCTGTTTAAAGTCCCTAGGTATTCAGAAATTCAAAAGACTGAAAAGCTGGGCACAACAGTATGTGCCCGTAGTCCTCCCTACTCAGGAAGTGTGAGGATGGCCAGAGCCCAGGAATTCTAGAATAGCCTGGGTAATATAGCAAGATCCTACCTCAAAAAAAAAAAAATCAAAACCAATTGTTAGTCAAAATGTAGAGGAAATCTTGTGCACTACTGTTTGTTTGTTTGTTTGCTTGCTTTCTTGCTTGCTTGCTTATAGTACTCAAGATTTAATCCAGAGCCTTAGCCCTGGGTTAAAGCCCAGCCCTTTCTTATTTTGAGACAGGGTCTTGCCACATTGCAAAATTGCCCTGGTTGGGCTTGAACACATGATCCTTCTGCCTCAGCTTCCCAAAGTGCGGGCATTACAGGCACACACCACCAGCCTGGCTCTAGTGGAATTTAAATTGGTCCTATATAACCAATTTGGAAAACTGTTTGGCACTATGTACTAATTATAAATACCATGACCCTACACCCTTTTTTAAGTTTATGCCCAGAGAAATGAGTGGGAATGTACACCAAAAGACATAAGCAAAAATGTTTGCAGCAGTTTTATTCACAGCCAAAACCTGGAAACAACCCAAAGATATGACTGGGAAACAGATAAATTAATTGTAGCATATGCACATAATTATTACTCAACAATAGTTCAAAAAGAACTTCTGATCCACATGATCACATCGATAAATTGTATAGATATTTTATTACATAAAAAATGACATGCACAAAGAGTTCCTACCATATTATCTACTGGAGCTTAAAAGAGGATAAAATTAGTGTAGTCTTTTTTTAAAAAATCATAATTTGGTTACCTTCATATTGGAGGTAGACAAATGATGAGCAGAAGGATCAGGAAGAAATCTTCTGGCACTCTGGAAATGTTCTACAGCTTGACCTGTCACAGGGTGTATACGCATGTAAAATTAACTGAGCAACACATTTTATACACTTTGTCATATGATTCACTTCCAAGTAAAATATCTCTAAAACACCTAATATCTCTACAAGGAGCATGCTACGATTGTAAAAAAATAAAATAAAATCTGAACCTTGTTCTTTCCCTTTTTCACTTAGATTAGACCCTATTCCTCCTCCCAGACCTGTTGGTGGAGTTACTTCTGTTTCCTCGGTCAGATAATGGATCTAAGTCTCACACACATCAAATTTAACACATTTTTAAACGTCCACGCTTTTCGCAAGCCACTCCCTATCCATGAGGTCCTAATAGTGATACCAGTCTTTAAATTCAGCCGAATCTTTGAGTCTCAGATTCCAATTTGCTTTCTACTGGTTAAATACTAATTTGATTTTTTTTAATCTTTAAGAACAGAATCCCTTTGTTTTACACCCTCATTACTATGAGCTAAAACAAATCCCTCCCTGGCTATAAAGACAGAATGTCAAAAATCACAAGGTAAGGTATCATCATCTTCTGGTTTTGCAAACATGTACATTCCCTAGAGAACAGAAATCTTCCTTCGCTTTAACAGCCATCTTGATGCCGGACCTTTATACAGCCCCCTTACGCAGCCTCCCCCTGAAAGTGCCAGTAGCTATGTTATGGTCTGCCATTCTCAGTAAAGAAAATAAAAATCCACAAGAAGATGAACTCTATACTCCTTCAAGCTTCTTCTACCATTCAGAATAATACGCACTTTAAGAACCTTAACATGCAAAACCTTACACTGTAATGATAATCATAGGCAAAGGTTTTTATGTCAATCATAAATAACTTTACAAACTTGATTATTTCTTATCTACATATAACCAACCCCTATTTCAGTAAAGTGGGAAAATTAGTGGGCTAGAAAAGCAGCCAGGTAAGAGAAAAATAACATGAAGGTGAAAAGTAGATTAGGTTAAAAGAAGCCTCCCAGTGCCATCTGTATTCCGATCAATGCGACGTAAGTCAACAATGAGACACAAGTTTTATTAAAGGCAGACACAGTTACATTGCTGTACATTGTCACTCTTTAACAGCACCCCAAATAAAACTGTTCAGAACAATTAGCAGTTTTATACAGTTTCAGGAAAAAATGTTTTTAAAAGCAACTACCAAATAACTGATTAAAGACAAAGCCATGTAGTCACACAGGGAAAACAATGCTTCTTTGAGAACAATAGAGTCAGAAAACACAATAATGTACAATATTTTTATTTAAATAGTCTGAAATAGATTAGTTTTTTCCTCTATGACTACCTCAAAATACACTTCACTTCATTAAGTCTACACAAATGTCAAAATATTGAACATAACAGCAAATGGGTTAGTACTACTGGAATGCATTAATTATAAAGCCGGATAGGTGGATTAATTGTCCTACATACCTGTGGTTTTTCAGATTCCTGTGCTTGCTTACTCATGTACATTCAACTCTTATTTTTTAGAAACCACTGCTAGAAGCTCCAGATTTGGCTTCTATACTGCCACCTGTAGACCTAAAAGGGAAATAAACCATGAATTATTCATCAACAATGCATCTTTTCTAGACATCTAACAGGAGCAACTGAGGAAAAAGTGGCAAAATATTTTCTCCAAAACACAAAAACCTTGTATTTTTCTCCTCTTGTAAAAAATTCCGCAGGCATTCCTCTCTCCCAATGATTCGAGAAATTCTTTAATTAGAATTTGAAACATATCTACGTTCCAGGTCATCAACTGTATTACTCTCTGATCAGTTCCTTAAAGAGATGGAGTCACCGAACCAATTTAACAGCCATTTCAAAACCTGTCGTTTGAAATTAGAAGACAATCTGCCCACTTTGTTAATTAGGAAATTAAGAATTCAGTAAAATACCGCAATGAGAAGAGTGAGGAGACATCCAGACTAAGGTTACTTTACCACAAGGTCTAAGACATCTATTTTAAATAATAATTCTAACCTGAAATAGAGCTTTGTCCAATCTAAACAGTTTGATGGGGGTATTTTCATCCTATGCCTGATTTCTATGCGGTGAGTGCTGAAATATCTTTCAATTCTATCCCACGCATTTTAGATCTTTTCCCCTTTAAAAAAATAAAGTTAGAAAGAAAAGAAGAGAAGAGAGGGAAAAAAAAAACTAAACCAGAAAAGGAACAGAGGAGCAAAATTACTGACCAACTGTCAGGGAATCCAAGCAGCCAGGAGATGAAAGGAGCAAATGCGTTGGAGAGAAAAAACGACAAACACCGAATTTCTGGAGTTAACTGAGAAGAACAGACCGCGCCGCGCAGCTTTTTTACCTCTCGAATCCTACAATGTACCCAGCAAAGTGCCTCAGCTCCAACACCTTTTAACTAAAGACACAAGCACCACCCCTCGCCCCACCACCTAGGTGAGGCAGCGCCAGAAGCCACCAAGAGAGCGCGCCAGCCCGACCCCACTACCCCGCAAACCCCGAGGCTTTTTTTTTTTTGCCCGACTACAAATCCGCCTTACCGGTAATTTACTTTAATGCCCCGAAAGCCAGTTTTGGCTGATGGAATTGCAGCAAATCCAAGAAAATCAAGTCTCCTTTAGAAACTGTCCTGCTGACGGGCATTTACACACAACTCTCCCTTGCCTCCCAAACCCGAACACGCGCTGGGCCATCCCACGAGGATCTCTGGGGACCCGGGAGTGACCACGACTACTCCCACGTGCGTCCACTACACGCTCCCCCACACGCGGACGAGCGGCTCTAGGGTCTGTGCACGGCCGGCCCTCGGAGAGAAGTTCAGCACCCCCCACTCCGCACGCACAAACCACCACCTTGGCGCAGAAGGTTAGGGGCGCACGCCCCGGCCCCGGCACACAATAACTCGAGCAACTCCAGCCTTCCAGTACACGCCCGGCCGGTCCTGCCGCCAGCCGCTCCCCCTCCCCACACGGCCCCCACAGTCCCGCAGGCCCGGAGCAGGAGGCGTCCTCACGGCCGCTGGGTATGGGTTGTGAAGAGCGGGCGACCTACACTTTGCGAACAGGGGAGCCGCACGGGAGCTTACCTCTTTAGAAGGGGACTGGGTGGGGGTGGGGACCTTGAGACTCCGGGGAGTGAATCCCACAGGAGCAGCTTTCCTCACCTCTTCCCCACCTAGCGCACCGCGGGGCCGGGCACCTTACTCCTGCCCCCGGACATGCCCGGCCCTTACCCCGGAGCGCAGAGGCCTGGAAGGGGGGCGTCCAGCCCACAGCAACCGGGATCGCGGAAGATTTGGCTTCTATACTGCCACCTGTAGACCTGCGCGCGGGATCTCCTGTACGCCCGCGGGTCCACCGTCTTGAGCGGCTGAAGGCGGCGACGGCCGGAGTGTGGGACTCCAAGGTCCTCCTCGCTCCGGTGGAGCGGAGGTCCTCGTGTCCGTTGATCCTGAGAGGAGAGTCGCCCACCTAGCTCGCAGGTTCTGCCACCGCCCCGCGGTCGATCCTCTAGAACCCAAGCTGTCCACCCCACCCCTTTCCCGCCGTGCTGCGCTCCCCAGCCCCAGTTTTTTGATGCAGTTGCTTCCTCTACTTCTGGTTCATAGCTACGCCCGGACCCCCAGGATCCTAACCCACTCCCCACTCCTGGGGCTGCGCGGGGGACATCCGCACTTCGCCCGAGGCCAAGTGTGTGGGCAACGAGCGCTCTGGCCCCATTCTTCCCAGCGTCGCTTCAGTACCCGAGAGGCACCTTCGCTGGCACCGAGGGTGCCTCGTGTCTTGGGGGGAGGGGGTCTGAAGCGAGGTGGAGAGAGCCAAAGAGTGGAGGCGAAGAAATTACCATGTCAACTGCCAGGGGATGCAAGTTACTGCCTGTGCCTTGTTTTGTTACATTAACTACCTGAATGTGCTGCTGTCCTT